GTAGAGTAGAGTAGAGTAGAGTAGAGTAGAGTAGAGTAGAGTAGAGTAGAGTAGAGTCAAATCGAATCCAATCGAATAACAGAGTTGGAACAGACCTTGGAGGTCTTCTAGTCCAACCCCCTGCTTAGGCAGGAAATCCTGCACCACTTCAGACAAAGGGTTGTTCAATCTCTTCTTTAAAACTTCCAGTGTTGGGGCATTCACAACTTCTGGAGGCAAATTGTTCCACTGATTAATTGTTCTCAGTGTCAGGAAATTTCTCCTCGGTTCTAAGTTGCTTCTCTTCTTGATTAGTTTCCACCCATTGCTTCTTCTTCTGCCCTCAGGTGCCTTGGAGAATAGCTTGACTCCCTCTTCTTTGTAGCAGCCCCTGAGATATTGGAAGACTGCTTGCTATCATGTCTCCCCTGGTCCTTCTTTTCATTAAATTACAATACAATACAATCCAATAGCAGAGTTGGAAGGGACCTTGGTGGTCTTCTAGTCCAACCCCCTGCTTAGGCAGGAAATCCTGCACCACTTCAGACAAAGGGTTGTTCAATCTCTTCCTGAAGACTTCCAGTGTTGGGGCATTCACAACTTCTGGAGGCAAATTGTTCCACTGATTAATTGTTCTCAGTGTCAGGAAATTTCTCCTCAGTTCTAAGTTGCTTCTCTCCTTGATTAGTTTCCACCCATTGCTTCTTCTTCTGCCCTCAAGTGCCTTGGAGAATAGCTTGACTCCCTCTTCTTTGTGGCAGCCCCTGAGATATTGGAAGACTGCTATCATGTCTCCCTAGTCCTTCTTTTCATTAAACTAGACATACCCAGTTCCCGCAACCGTTCTTCATAAGTTTTAGCCTCCAGTCCCCTAATCCTCTTTGTTGCTCTTCTCTGCACTCTTTCCAGAGTCTCCACATCTTTTCTACATCGTGGAGACCAAAACTGTTTGCAAATATTCCAAGTGTGGCTTTACCAAGGCCTTATAAAGTGGTATTAACACTTCATGTGATATTTTGCCAAGATATCGTGATACTATGATACTATGAAAATCTCATGGCTTGGGGCAACAATGAAATGCAGGCAGTCCTTGACTTACAATAGTTAATTTAGTGACCATCCGAAGTTACAGCAGCACTGGAGAAAGTGACTTATGACCCTTTTCACACTTACGACCATTGAAGCATCTCCACAGCCATGCAATCAAAATTCAGGCTTTTGGCAACTTATGATGGTGGCAGTATCCCTGGGTCACGCGATCCCCTTTTGCGACCTCCTGACAAGCAAAGTCCATGGGGGAAGCCAGATTCACTTAACAACGGTGCTACCAAATTAACAACTGCAGTGATTTGCCTAACAACTGTGGCAAGACAGGTCATAAAACGGGGTGAAATTCTCTTAACAAATTTCTCACTTAGCAACAGAAATGTTGGGCTCAACTGGGGTCGTAAGTCGAGGACTCCTTGTATGCACCGAATGCTGAAAAATAAGTGTCATAAATAATTCCCGCGGAGCTTATTATAATGTACCCCAGGAATGCCTAAGTACGTCATAACACTGAAGAGCGTGGCCTTTAATTAACTCGGCTAGATATAATTTTTGAACTTTCGTTAATGTATGCGCATAGGAACAGTTAACAGTGTGCTTGGACATATTCCATCTTCAAGGAGAATGGGAAATCGGAAGGGTATTATTCATAACCTCGTAAGAGGGCGTCATGCGCCCCAAAGAACTCAGAACAGCCCAAGATGGTATCGAATGGCTGTACAATTTAAATTCACCTAATGGGGTGGCATTTTTCAAAAGGAACAAAGATCTCAGGTATCTTGAGAAAGATTGGATGCTTTATCTAGACATTTGAAGGCCGTTGAGGAGGACACTAAAAACTAATGGCCACAACAGCAACGATAACCAACAAATAAAAGGACGGAAATTGAAAATATTGCTTTATGTCAGCCTCCTGTCATCTTAGGACAATGAGTTTTCTTTTCCTTCTTTTGACCCTGACAGCAGGAGCTGCGAACTACCTCTGGGCCTTCCTTGATATATGTGGTGGGAGGAAGGAAGGAAGGAAATGAAGAAGGAAGGAAGGAAACGAGGAAGGAAGGGAATGAAGAAGGAAGGGAATGAGGAAGGAAGGAAGGAAGGAAGGAAGGAAGGAAGGAAGGAAACAGGGAAGGAAGGAAATGAAGAAAGGGAATGAGGAAGGATGGAAGGAAATGAGGGAGGGAGGGAGGGAGGAAGAAAGGAAAGGAAACGAGGAAGGAAGGAAATTAACAAGGAAGGGAATGAGGAAGGAAGGAAGGAAACGGGGAAGGAAGGAAAGGAAACGGGGAAGGAAGGAAATGAAGAAGGAAGGGAATGAGGAAGGATGGAAGGAAATGAGGAAGGAAGGAAGGAAAGGAAACGAGAAGGAAGGGAATGAGGAAGGAAGAAAGGGAATGAGGAAGGAAGGAAGGGAAAATAAATAAATAAAGAGGGAGAAGTAAGAATAGAAAGTCAAGAGGGAAAGAAAAAAAGGAGAAAGGAAAGAAAAAAGAAAGGAGGGATAAAGAAAAAGAGAAAGGAAGGAAAGAAAGAAGGAAAAAGGAGGAAGTGAGAGGGGGGAAAAAGAAAAGGAGGCTTGAAACGGTTTGGGGCTCAGGGATTTGCCTCCCTGAGCATCTGAAACGCAGGACTTGTTTGAGCTCCAGCTCCGTGATTCTCAACCTTGGCAATTTTCAGAGGGCTGAACTACAAAGGGGCAATTCTGGGCTTTAAGCTTCACTCCTCCCAAAACTGCAAAGGTTGAGGAACTCTCTTCTAGCAACTTCACCAGGAATTCAGCTCTAAAGGAGAATATTTGTAGCTCAGGGCTGAAACGAGGGGTTCTCTCTAAGCACCATGGTTGTGTGTGTGTGCGCATAACTCACATGCCTCGAGCAATT